CCTTATTTTGCTTATTTCAAATCTTGTTTTCTTAAGACATCCTCTATTACTTACTATTCAGCTCCACAAACACATCAAATATTCACATCATAAATACTCTTTCCTTACCAAGCCAGATTCCGTCAAGACCTGTTTTATCCATCCACTCTTTCAAGCATTGCGTCCAATACTCTTGCGTATCGGGATTAAACCAATCTGGGAAAACTGTAGTGCCAGGCCAAACTTTGCCAACAAAATTGCTAACAATACTGCCATGATCATATTTAATAAACAACTTTTTTTCGATTCCCTCGTCATACGGTTTATACCCTTCTTGAACTTTTATACCGGGATCCAATATCGCCACTATCTTTCGGTTATTTTCATGGAGTGAGTTTACATAAGCGGCAAGTTTATGGTCGGGAAAATGAGACTGACAGTATGTGAAAGGTTTGTAGTGGTCCATGTAGTCGATATCGAGCCAGGCAGCATCGAGTGGAATTGCAGCAGTGGCATGAGATGAGACCATCTCGGCAACTTTGAAAATGTTAGAGTAACCAAATCTGCATTGATGATATCCGAGGGACCTGAATGTAGACGACAAATTGAGGAATAATATTTGTGGTTAAAGTTTGTATAATTGCTAGTGATCCCGATTTGAAGCCGACTAATCTATATTCAGCAGTCCCATCCTAGTAGCCACGATATCACACCCTTTCGAAAGATTCATTCTTCCGCCACCCATTTAATTCTCTAAAATATTCACACATACCAATATGGATGAAGGCAAGGACGCCCGATTAATTCGGCATATTGCTCAATGACATCAATGGGGGATGGTCCAAGAAAGATGTAAAAGTCGAGTATACCGCCGATTACTTTGTAAGTCAACTTGTCTTCACCGTAGATGATATCCATACCATTTGAGTTTAGAAGAAACTATTAGTGAGGAACGAGTTAGATATGAGAAGGGGTAAATTTATGAATATGCTCGTTAAGGTTATATATATTCTGTTATCACCAAAACGTATATAAATGTTGCGTAATTGACGACATTCACGAGCATTCCCTCTC